TTTTCTGGTGTAAAATGAACTATATTTTTATAAAAAATTATCGAAAAAAATTAGAATAAAAAACTTAGCATATATGGCGAAAAATTCACTGTGCCAATACTTTTGTTCGTCACTGTACATATACATACATAGTCAATTTTTAAGACAGCCAATTTATTGGCTGTGGTTTGTGCGCGCGACATAGTAAGAAAAAAAGATAAATTGAAAATTTTTATTAAATCGCACATGGGTTTGCTAAGCTTTCGTTTTCCATTGAGAAACGGTAATCATTTTAGCTAAGCACATTATTGGAAAAGTTCTCTATTTGAAAAGCAAAAGAAATTGGCTGTGCAATGGTTATCAAATCGACTTATCCAAAAAACTTGTCAGTTAGTCATTTTTTGATAACTTGATAAGCTTTTTATGATAAGTAAAAAGTGCAACACTTATCAACTTTACTTTTCAATAAAAAGGCTTATCCACAAGTTGTAAGATGATAAGTGATAAGTCGTTGGTGCAATTAGGCTCTGAAAGAGAAGGCACGTGGGTGACGAAATTACATAAGCATAGCCTAGTTGTTGCGTCCCCTCGGCTCAACTTTATTCAACGCCTCCGAATTTTAACGGCGACGGCTTCGAGCTTTGCTCGCTCATCTGTCATCGCGCTGTCACTGAGCTCTCGCGCCTTTGACTTCAATTTCTTTCCTTTTTCACGTGGGTTTCTAGCCGAGCAGAAGTAAATCTTATATATATAATAAAAATTTACATAAATTTATCGCAAAATATATTTGTAATCGAATGCCTTGCTTTAGGCATAGCCAAACACAAGTGTGAGTAGCAATCAAATATCATACAACTTTGTAAATTTCGTTACTTAAATAAATTGCAGATTTTAGCGCTTATTCGTGCACATATATGTGTCGCTAAAAATATTGTTTTATTGGCATTCGCTTTTACATTTCTAAAATACTTTTGGCGAAGGCCTTCTGCTCAGAAGCACGTTGCAAATTTCGATAAACCAGAGAATCTCCGAAAATCCGGAATTACTAATTATTGCAATTGAGCGCCTAACACGAGACACGTGTTCCGAATTAACCTGAAACCCTCTAATGAGTGTCCGCGAAGCAGGAGAAACAGCTTCTGGCTCATCAAAGGTCACCAGCACGCACTCTGCTGGTGTGGCTACCGCAGTAGCTAATTCCACTTCTGTCACCGTTATGGTTGCAATAATTGGCATACCCGCTTCTACTGGTGACACGGTATTCGCTACCGGGAGCGCGCCGACTGAAGCATTCGCGCCACCACTTGCCCCTACAACAACGGTTGGATTTATAGCTAATGGAATAACAGGTGCTATTTTCGCATCTACTCCTCGTCAGACTGAAGCTGGCCTGGGAACGATCGATACCTCCCCGCTTCGCACCCGCTCGGGGATCTTACGTACTGAGAAGCCACGCAAGCGTATACGCACATTACGCACAACTGCGCCAACAATCGCCCCTATTGGTGAAGAGAGACCACAGGTAACTTGGTGCCCTATAACGTACCCCTTAGCAACACACGGAGTTGGTGGTTTAAATCCATTGCCGGATATTCATGCGTATAGGAGGGCTCAATATTCTTGGGAAGGTGGAGTCGGTCGGTATAGGTCGACATAATACGGGAGGTATTTTTTCAAACGCATACTTGAACAGGATAGTGGGGGCGTTTAATAGCACGGCATCCGTGATGTCTGCTTACGTCAACAACTTTGCAAATCCTACTAATTCGTAACAAATTCCTCTGACACGCTCGTCCTATGCAGATATAACTCTGTCGTCCTCACAGAGTTCACCAAGTAATGTCGAAGGACCTACCGTCCTTTATTCTGGTAATCCTGAAGAGTGGCCCGTCTTTATCACGAATTTTGAACAGTCTACGGAAAGATGCGGTTTCACTGAGCAGGAAAACCTTATACGTTTGCAAAGGTGCCTCAATAGCCCGGCATTCGAAGCCGTGTGGGGGAAAATTGATGATGCCTAGTACGGTATCGCTTGCCATCGAAACGATGCGGATGCTTTACGGGCGACCTGATGTTATACATCATATCTTGCAACGGATTGCAGCATCCGATTGTGAAAATGGAAAAGATGGATACTTTAATAAACTTTGCTCTGGCGGTGCAGAATTACCGCGCGATCGGGCTCAGCGATTATTTGAACTAGGGATGTTGCGAATGTGGAATTTTAGATATCCGCCGATGCGGATGTTTAAAAGCTAATATCCGCGGATGCGAATGCGGATGTCAAGTATTTTTAAGAAATAATTTAGGTGAGTACATTAGGTTATTTAGGTAAATAAAAACTGGAAAAGTTAGTAATTTTTATTAATGTTTTTTTTATTTAGTACTTGAATTTAAAAATTGGAAAATTGTATTTAATAAAGAGTAATTTTGCTGCCTTTTCGGATTACAGCCTTTCTTAAAGGGACGTAAATCAAACCTGCACCACTAAATAGCTACTCGCTTGAGGCGATAGATTTGAAAAACTTGAAACTTGACAATATTGTAAATTATTTTCGATTGACGCTGCATCAGATGAGAGGACTTTCAATATTTTTTTTTTCTTTCTTTTTCTCTTTTCTTTTTCTGCGGTGCAGTAATTCCTTTTTGAGAATTGCAATTCCTTTTTGAGAATTGCTTTTCTTCCTGACTTTCATCTTCACAATCTAGCATCATGGCAAGAACATTGTTTAAACACCGTTGTTTTCCAATTTGGAGAACCAATTCTTTTGGTTGTTTCAGAATTTGGAGAACCTGTTATGTCTTCAGCGTTTTTCGATTTTAGTTTTTTTTTTTTTAAATTCATTTGTAATCCTGTCTTCCGCGACTGGTTTGAAAAATGTGTGCTTGTAGCGAGGTTCTAAATAGGTGGATATGGCAAATAAATCGTTATTTTCTAGGAATGAAAATTTCGAAGAAAATTCTGTTTTAAAAGTCGTGGCTGCCAGCAGAATTAGTTTAAAATCTTGTTATTTTGTTTAAGAGGCACCCCGTTTTTTATATTGATTTGAATTGTTAGAGTCACGGACGATGAAGGTCTCAGATCTGCTTCTGCCATGAAGTATCAAAATACCGTCTCTGGTGATAATCAAACAATTTCTAACATGTTCGCTCAGTTTTTTAAATCCAATTATTCCACTAACTCCCAAGCATACTTTGACTATCCTTTTAAACTAAGTCCAATTAACTCAATACATAACCCTATAATATATCCCGATGATGTTTTAGTTTACCTGAAGTCCTTAAAGCAGTCTTTTAGTTATGGTCCTGACCAGATCCCCACTTGTTTTCTTAGAAATTGTGCTGATTATCTCTATGAGCCGTTAACAGCCTTATTTAATTTGTCTCTTAAAGAGGGCGTTTTTCCAACTGTATGGAAGGAATCGTTCATAACCCCCTTACATAAAAGCGGTAGCAGGTCTTCAGTGGAGAACTACCATAGCTAAGAATAGCTAAGCTTTCTGCAATTCCTAAATTATTCGAAGCAATTATAACAAATCGGTTGAAGCATTCTATCACTTCATCATTTCATACAGTCAACATGGATTTTGCAAGGGCAAATCAACTTCTACAAATTTACTTGAATTAACATCCTATATCTCAAAAGCATTTAGTGAGAGCAAAACTGTTGATGTTATATATACTGATTTCAGTAAAGCATTTGACAAAGTGTGCCACTCGTTGCTCATCTATAAACTTGATCTTCTTGGTCTTCCACCTAATTTTCTACGTTGGATCTCTTCATACCTCTATGATAGATCACAAAGGGTATTGTTTAAAAATACTATCTCTGACGTCATTGATGTTACTTCAGGAGTCCCTCAGGGTAGCCACCTAGGCCCGATTCTGTTCTTGCTTTTTATACGATATTTCTACAGATATAAAATTCTCCAAAATTTTAATGTGTGCAGATGATGTAAAACTTTATAAATCGTACGTTTCAATTAAAGAAAGGTCTTTGATACAATCAGACTTAAACAGCATGGCTTACTGGTATAAAGTAAATCTTATGCCTCTAAATCTTAAGAAATGTAAAGTAATGTGCTTCTCGCGAAGAGCTGTTCTGCCAGTTTCTTATATAATAGGTAACCATAACCTGGAACAGGTATACAATTTTGTGGACCTTGGTATCACAATGGATCCTAAGCTTAATTTTAATCTTCACAATAATGTGACAGTCAACAAGGCTAAAGGTGTACTTGCATTTGTGAAACGATGGTCAAAAGAATTTAGTGACCCTTATATCACTAAAACCCTGTTTACAACATTAGTTAGGCCGATTCTGGAATACGGCTCGGTGGTTTGGAATCCAAGGTATCAAATTTACTCAGACAAGATAGAATCAATTCAAAAACAATTCCTACTTTTTGCTTTAAAAATTTCCGATGGGATTCTCAATATAGTCTTCCACCTTATACGAGTCGCTTAAAACTTATTAACCTTCCTACACTTGCCAGTCGCAGGGAAATGCTTGGTATAATTTTTATGGTTAAATTACTGACAGGCTCAATTTCAAGTCCGTCTCTTCTGGCTGATGTAAGCTTTAATGTTCCGTCACGCGTATCAAGACACTTTTGTCCCATATTTCTGAAAGCTTGTAAAACCAATTTTGAATTGCACGACCCACTCCGTTGCTTATGCCAGGATTTTAACTCTCATTCCAGCACGTTTGATATATCAGATCCGCTTTTCAGCATTAAGAAAGCGATACTCCCCTCTCTCAATAAGTGAATTATTGACATAAATACATAAAATCAGCTGATGAATTTAGTTCTGTAGCTGAACAGTTTTAGATCTCGACACTTAACAAACTCCTGCCTATCGTGACTCGGCACAAAAATTTAAAATATTGGTTCCGTACGTCATGCGGACTGCGCCCCTCGTGCGGATGGGCGGGAATGGAGGGTAAAAAGCGTTGGGATATTATTATTAGTTCACGAGTGACTTATTGGAAAGGTTCACCTGTAATGAATTGCTTGTAATTAGTGTTTTTATTAGCTGAGCTCGACTTTTCCTAGTTGCAGGCAGTCACAATTAATTACTCACCGCTGTTGGTACCATAAGCCGTTTTATTGTTCCATTCCATGCGCTCAATGTGCTTTGATATTTTGAGGCGCATAAACGAAAATTTTAAACATATCGTTAATATAGTATGCAAAGGGCGTATTTCACATTGTCGCTAAAATGCAAAAAAGCCACAACTAACTAAATTTTTTTATTGCATAAAACGATGTGGGGACTGTGATTCGATGAAATGCATCATAATCAATCAACAAGTGAATTTTGAACTTAATCATAATAGCATTTATGAGAAAAAATTAATAATTACACTTATCTAAGAAAAAGTACTAGAGATGCACGCAGTTTTTTCAACAGACCTTTGACAAATAATATTCGATACTTACATAATTCATACCTAATTAAAGGTTATCTGGAAATACCTATTGAAGGATCTTACTCTTTGACTTTAAATTACAAAAGAAGGGGACGTAGCGGAACCGTTTTAACGTAGCATCTATTCAGGCAAAAAATGTTCGCTACAATTTGTCATTTTGTTTGCCAGATACATATATGTAATACTTCTATATTGGTACTAAGCTAACATCTCAATGTGTAAGCATTCCGAAATCAAAGCGAGACAGTCTAGTACTGTTTTTGTCAATGTATTGTGTACTTGAGTGCCGTTTTTGTAAATGTGTCGTGTACATGTTTATTTATGTGTTCCTTTTCTTTCGTACGTGTTTATTGATATATCTGTACTGTAGTGTTTTCGGACGGTACTAGCTCTTACTGCCAATATAGGAGTATTACATATATGGCCAGATATACGTTTTATCAGTGCACTTGCACAATATTCGCATTCGCAAAAGCTCCGCATTGATTATTGCGAATGCGAAAGCGAATGCGAATGGTAGAATTAATGCGGATGCTCCGCGGTTGCGAATGCGAATGCGAATATTCGCAACAACTCTGTTTTGAACGATCCGATTTTGATAAACGAGCTCTTGACAAAATTGGCATGTGATTTAAAATTTGATTGGGGTAGATTTAGGATGACGCGCTTAAGAGTGGACCTGACGGTATTTTACGAATGGCTATTTAGCTTAGCAACGTGTGCTAGCCAAGTAATTCCGCTAGGTTATGCCCCTAGTCAAGCCGAACTGAAAAGTAGCCACAGACGTAGTGGGGAGAGATTAATGGTACACGAGGTCGTCGATACGGAAAAGCGAGGTAGCTGTCCAAAGTGTGAAGAAGAGCATCACCTTTCAAATTATAGTGCCTTTCAGCTGCTAAGCAGAGATGCACGATGGCGATTTGTCCGTGATTCCAAACTATGCATTTGTAGTTTTAAGCGACATTTCGTACGCCGATGTAACTCGAGAAAGCTGTGTGGTATATACGGTTGTAAAATGCCTTACAACCCGCTATTACATGGATCCACGCAAACTAAAGCCACCGTTTCAGAGGTTAAAAAGGATGTTAAGAATACGGAATATTCCATGGGATGAATACGGAATGTTCCATGGGAAGAATACGCAAGCTTTATTTCGATACGTTCCGGTATCACTCTAAAACAAAGAAAATTCGATCAATGTGCATGCGTTTATAGATGAAGGACCTGCTTGCACTCTAGTCGAAAATAAATTGGCAGATGAACTCGGTCTCGAAGGACCGGCAGAAGAGCTTTGTGTGCAGTGGGCGGGTGACATTTTGCAGAATGAAGCTGATACAAATCTTTATCCATCGATATTTCGGCCCAAAGGCAAGACGCCAAGAAATTTTCCCTACATAGAGTGCGCACCGTTTCGAACTTGAATCTACCTTTGCAAACGCTTGAAAGGGCCACGCTTGAAAGGGCCACGCTAACTTCGCATAAACATCTTAGCAATCTCCCAATTTCTCCGTACAAAGCAGTACGAACACGAATTGTCATAGGACTGGACAATTTAAAGTTGAAATTCGAGAGGGCAAAGGAGATGAATTGGTGGCAGCAAAATGCAAACTAGGCTGGTCGGTATATGGGGGGAAAGACGAAATAACCAATTCTTATCCTCGCGTGATGCATGTATGTCATACTGTCGATCACCTTGAGGAGTTCGTAAAGGCTCATTTCTCGCTGGAGGCCATAGGGACTCGCGCTTTCAAACCTTTATTGTCAAAGGATGAT